TTGCTAAGCCAAGCTTACCTCTGTGTCAAAACTCCATGCCCAGGGACACCAACTGCGCGTTGGCTCGAGCTGGTGAAGTAAATCCTGTGTTAGCCTGATGCGTTTGGCTATTACCCCTTGCCCGGGTTGTTGGTAACCAGTAGTCTGGGTACGGATTGAGGTGTACCGACATCTGGTGAAGCAGCAGCACTACCTGTTTCATCCCTCTGGTGAACACGTAGGGCGCTGTGCCTAACCCGAACGAAGTGGGGGGGGCACCAAAGTTCGAATACTTGGCCCAGCTGGGCGATTCGAAGGAGATGGCAACTCGCTAGGTGCATCGGTACGTGCAGGTAGGCCCCGCTTAAATCTAGCGGGGCTAGCCAGTCAAAACGGTGGATGGAGAGAAGAACCCTGAATGGTGTCTCCATGTGGAGCCGATCGAGGGGCACGTACTGATTCAGTCTGTCTAGGTCCAAAACTGGACGCCTGCCACTTGTACATTTGGTACTACGAACACATTTGGGTAGAAGCCTGGACTTAGTTCCGGCTGATGTACCCTGTGTATGGCGTCTTTCCCCAGCAAACTGCTACTTCCTGTCTGATTGCTTCCGCCTTGCGGGGGTCCCCTGGCAGTGCCCAACAGGGGAGACACTGACGGGGGGAAGTGGAGATTTCAGCGGTATGCCGTAAACGGATGTCACCACCTGGGAAGGTCCAGGGGTCGGTCACCCGCCGTCTCCAAACCGGACTACACCGGCGCAATCTGTGTACGACAGGGATGTGTGGCCATGTGTTCGGCAGTTGCAAGGGGGGAGGGTGCTCCCTTCCCCCATGAGGCGAGTTCCCCAAGGCCTGAAGTAGTCACTAAGTTGTGACCTGGCCACTCACCGAACACGTGCCTGTCTCCCCCGGTTGCAGAGGTGAGCGTCAAACATGCTTCCCCTGCTGCCGGGTAGACATCCGCCCATGGAAGGGTATAAGCGCTTGCCTCCTGGCTGACTCTGGCTAGCGGGCAACGTCCTAGGGCGTTGTGTTTTCTGTGCTTGGTGTGCCCTCCGCTTCCCCATGGCAGGACCAACTGGCTAGCGGATTCAATCTGAACCCTCTGATTCATTGCACTCCGAAGCTCCAAGACTGTACCCACCATTCCCTGAACAAAGAGGGTGGAGGGTGTCCAGTCTGCGTCACTGAGGTGGGGGACGTACCCCAGCTCAGCTTGTCGGCGAAAACACGTGCGTCTAAGGCCGCGTCTCGTAGCCCAGTAGTGGCCCTGGCCAAGCGAGCCAGGCAACACTAGGGGGTGTCGCACGTAGATGTGCGGTGGCCCACCAGTAAAAAAGTCGCCTGGTCTAGGAGGCTGGTGCGTTCTGCCTCCAAGGTCACCAGAGTGCTGGGCACGCATAATAATACGCTCAAGCAACTCTGCCCTCAGGGCTAGATGGGTCGTCCTCAATTGGCAAAGACACCCATGGAACGCAGCTATCCCCCTTTGCCCGGTTTGCCAAATTCGTGGTACCGGGGTCTGGGGAAGGAGCCTTGGAATCCTGTTGGGGGCGTTTTGGTCTCATCCCACGCTATGGGGTCTGATCCCGAAACACACCGACTGGGTAGCGTTTGCCTAACGTTATCCCCACCTGGGGCCCTTAAGCATTACATCCTCCGCGGCTGACCAACGCCGCCCATCAACACCGTTTGCGTGCTCTGCGCCCCACTCCGCACTCAGACGGACAGGGGAGAGATGTGCCGACGGGGTTGCTTTGGATCCCGACGTCCGTGATCCTATAAGCGTTGAAGCAACCTTAGGTGGTCGCTTTAGGATCAAGGGTGGGGGTATATACATCGTATCACTGGGAACGATGGTACTCCGCCTCGCCTCAAAAGCGTGGCTCACCGAGTCATACAGATGGAAGACTCTGAGGGACCGCCCGGAGTACTGGCTGTATCCAACACTAGCGAACGCGTCTCCTTTAACTTAAAATATGTGAGAGGGAGCGTGTTCGACTGTGCGTCTCATGACAGGTCGGGTTCCCTCTGGGGATG